GGGGGGGGGGGGGGGGGGGGGTTGTGGAAAAAGGAAGAGGGCGGACAGCACCCTCCTGCTGCTCCTTTTTGCTCAAAGGGGGCTGACCTTTGGGGTCACTTGGCCCTGCTTGCCAGGGAGAAGGGGAAGGATGGGTGCAGGTTCACCTTACACCACACACTTGGACGCTCAGCTGCTTTCTCATCCTTTAAGCTTGCAAGTGTCTAGACCAGAGTTTCCCAACCTTGGCCACTGGAAACCAGCATGGGGAATTCTGGGAGTTGAAGTCCACACATCTTCCAGTGGCCAGGTTGAGAAACATTGGTCTAGAACGATACCCTCGTGTAGAGATCAGCAGTGGACTCTGCCTGGTGGAACAGACCTGCAACGTCCCCGGCCTGTGAGCCAAAGGACTCCCCATCTGCGCCCCCCCCCCCAGCAGAGCCATCCCTCGAAACCCCACTTCCCCCTCTCCAAATCCTCAGTCTCTTCCCTCTGTGTACTGGCGTCATGCCTTATCCCCAGAACACGGGCCTGGCCTTAAGGAGCTCCCACAGCTCAGCCCCCCAAGCCCCTCCCCCCATGGTGAACCAGGGCCCCTGGGAAGTTTGGTCTACCGGTTAAGGTGCTGGGCTAGGAATAGCAAACCTGAGTTCAAATTCATTAATTCATTCAATTAGTCCCACCTTAGGCATGAAACTGTCTGGGTGACCTTGGGCCAGTCCGGAGGAGGAGGAGGAGGAGGATGTTGATGATGATGAAGGCCACCCCCTTCTGAAACTCTTGCCAAGAAAACTGCAAGGATGGTTCAGGTTGTTGCCTGGAGTCAAAACTCACTCAGGCATGATTATGTGTGTATGTGTGTATAATAACATAGACAATAATAAAATATCAATACTTTATATTTATTCAATGCATAGACACACAGGTATACATATCCAGTCCAGAGGCCTCTGGGTGGCCTGCAAAAAAGAACCAGAAAAAGCAGTCAGAAAACCCACTTTTCCAAAGAAAGCCACATGGAAACTTCTGCTTGTTTTTTGGTGGCCCAGAGGTGGTGAGCCTTGTTTCAGGTTCGGAGCTGCTTCTCCCCACTCAAAAGCTGCCCCTTAGGAAAGCAGCAGCCCAGGGCACGCACACACACTTCTCCCATGAGGCCCCTGCAGTCCCAGCTTTGCAGTGTTGGCTGGGGAAGGCAGTGCGTGGCATGCACTGATTTGCGTGCGCTTGAAGGCAAGGATAGAGGAACGCTTGGCGCCACCAGGAACCCAAACAAAGCAGAGTTCCCAATCTTGGTTAGGAGTTTGGGTGTGCAAAGGTGAGTGTCAGCCAAATGGAGCACCGCTTCTTGGTTCATGCGCACGGAGATGGGGGCTTCTCCACTCGGCTCCGCTGCTTAACCGGCCGGGATGCGTCGCTGCTGTCCTCCTGCCGGGCCGACTACAGTTCCTGGAGCTGGTGTGGGGGCCACCCAGCCGGAGGACGTGGCGGGGGTGGTGGCTTTGAGGAGCACTTAGACACCCTCCCAGAATGCTCTGTTCAGACTGGCCCTTCCTCTTCCGGCCAGGGGCACCAGGCGCAATCTGCGGACTTGCACGTTTGGCATTTTTAGTGGTGCCTGACCTGCCCTGGCTCCTGCGTCTGGCTTAAGCAGTGACATCTGGAAAATTAAATACTGATTTTCAAATGTTAAAACAGACCTTTCAGAAGAGTGTTAAAACTGTACAGAAATATCCAAGCACGTCACCTGCATGCTCAAAAACGTCTTTTTGTGCCCAGATTCAGACAAGAACAGGGAAACTCTGCTGGCCCCATGCAAAACAGGCGTTGGCTACCCCTGCCAGCTCTCTGGCACTGGGGATCAAGGTGCCGCGAGGCCTCCTGGCAGGGGGGCCAAAGGGTTTGTTGGCTCAGCAACAGAGTTTCCTTCACAGGGGTCTCAACTTGGTCATCCGAAGGGGCAATTTCTCTGGGATGACCCCAAAATTTGGAGGGGGAAGATTTACAATGCCCACGTTTTGCATTTCAGGCACATCAGCCTTGGCTCTCTGGCCTGGGTCAGCCCTTGTGCAACTTCGCACCGGGAATAACGTATTCCAGGAACGAAGAAATGATGCTGGCTTGGCATTTTAGTGGGCTGCACAACACCAGTCTGTAGGCCCTTGCGTGGGTTTCGGCTCAGCATGTTGTGCGAATCCAGTCAATCGCAGCTTGTTCAGAAGACCATAATAAAGAAATTATGCAGCCATAACCAGAGTGAACCTTAACGAAGTCAAAGGATGCCATCGTCCTTAATGCCATCATGCTCCCGCTTCCCAACACGAGACATAAGTTTGCAACTCACGGCGTTTCCATGATGCCCTCTGCGGACGGCCCTGAATCTCTAAGGTTCAGTTCAAAGTGCGAGCCTCGTTTCTGCTGTCATCTCCGAGATCTCTTTGGAGAACAGGCGAGAGGGCGAAGGTGCCCCCTTTCAAGAAGGGAAGAAGGCAGGCCCTGGAAATGTTGCAGAAGACAGCAGGGAGGGTCAACGGAGTCGAGATGGAGCGATGCACATGACAAAGGGACACCCTTCGATCATGAAATCACGACTGTCCTCTTTCCTTGCCCTCCATCCCTGTGGGATCAGACGGTGCACTGGAAGGCCGGAGAGCATTTCCGAAACAGCACCCAGGCTGTGAGGTCTCCTTAGGGCCACCTTGATCACACCTCGGAGACCTCTGCTGACACCCTAACGCTTGCCTTGCTGGGGGGGTGTATGTGTCTCTCTCCCACTTTCGCACAAACCAGCCCACCGGTGCCATTTTTTTAGAGGGCTCCCTGGCTCTCAGAAGGTGGGTGGGTGGGTGGCTCTGGGAGACAGGCTGTTTCCACAGGAGGACCAGCATTTGCTGTGCTCTCCCCAGAAAAGGACTCCTGCTGCGTTTCCCTGCTCTTTCAGCTCCTTTCAGTGAGCACAGAGGGTTCCCTCTGAGGACCGGACTGGCCCTGGAGATATTTAAATGGCTCTCCTTCCATGGTTATTACGTTATTTTGCTGCTTTTGTTGATTTGGAACCAAGGCCTGAAAACTGCTTTGAAGTTCTGTTTTTTGTTTTAAAAAGAAAAACTCATAAAAGTATTGCAACTAAAAAAAAATTGCAGAGGAAGTTACAGCCGGGTCTTTTCGTCAGGCAAGAGGCTTTGCTTCAGGCTCCAGATGCCGGCAGGAGAAGCCTTTTCCAACCTTCTGACTCTCCACCTGAAAGAGGCAGGCAAGAAAGTTGCCCTTCTCAGGGGCGACGACCTCCGAGCCCGGCTAGGGAGCAGCCCCGTCCCCTGCTCAGCTTGCCAGGAGCGCCTTATCTTCTGAAACAGGCTGCTGGTTGCAGTTTGTTTGTTGCAAACAAGGTATGATGCTTCTTTTTTATACATTCAGGCTGG